ACCCCAACTAACCAAACCAAATCTAAATTTGAACAAAAACTGATTCGTAACCCTTTTGGTACTAATGTTGGAGAGAGGTCCTGGTCAATGTGGTCCCTGTTCAAGTGGTCCCTGATATTAAAAAAAAAGGTTTGGAATGACTGCCTTATAGGAATCTCAATAACACTATGTTACAAAATTTGAAAAAGTATTGTCGAAGACTTTCATGGCCGAAATCACTGGATTGTTGTAGGTTTTTCAGGCTATGTGGCCATGTTCTAGAAGCATTCTCTCCTGAAAACCTCTAAGGATGCCTGCCATAGATGCAGGTGAAACATTAGGAGAGAATGCTTCTAGAACATGGCCATATAGCCCGAAAAACCTACAACAACCCAACATTTGAAAAAAAATCTGTTCCTGATTTGAAAGTGTTATTTCCTGTTTGATTGTGTGGTACCTACGTTATCATTCTCCAGAAACTTTGTTTTTGTGGCTGCCACAAACTATGTTGAATTGGTTGAGATTCTCTGAGATATTCATTGAAAAACTATAGCAAAATGTGCTGCTGGATGTCCCACAACAACAAAGCTTTTTCACTTTAATAAACTTTGCCATGTTTTCATGATTGAACCAATCAGGAAATAACATTTATAACTAAAATCTTGTTACATAGTGAAATAGTTGATTAGCTTAAATATTGTTAGTACTAACTAGAGTAGATGCACTGGATCTCACAATGCATTTACTTTAGGTGGGACTAACCAACATGATTCCAGGCATGATTTGTTGAACTGGATCAAAAAATCAGCACTTGCAATATCCCTGCCTTTTAATTTCATTAATGCCACTCAAAGGGTCAAGGAGGCAGCGGAATCACACACAAAAAATATTGCACGGGAGATGCCTCTTCCCCACAGCATCTTCCTTACCAAATGGCTTAGTTCAGTCTGTAGAAATATCTGACCCTGTGGAGACAGGACAGAATGTACTGAAGGGGGGGCGGGATAGCAAAATCTGCCCATACATCAAAGTAGACCCAATTCATGCTTTATTAAAAACATTTATAAATATTTTTGTCCATCTTGTTTTAAACTTGATGCACAGTTTGAAATAAGAATTTCAAAATTACAAATGGAACAATATTAGAAATAAATAAAACAAAATGATAAGTGAACAATCCAGATGCAGGTTTAAATTGAGTACAGATCCTGCACAATAGAGGAGGGTTCACTCTACTATTAAAACTCAAAAAAGATGTGGTGTCGAAGGCTTTCATGGCCAGAATCACTGGGTTGCTGTGAGTTTCTGGGCTGAATGGCCATGTTCCAGAAGCATTCTCTCCTGATGTTTCACCCACATCTATGGCAGGCACCCTCAGGGGTTGTGAAGTCTGTTGGAAAGTGAGGTTTATATATCTGTGGAATGTCCAGGGTGGGAGAAAGAACTGTTGTCTGCTGGAGGCAAGTGTTAATGTTGCAATTGGCCACCTTGATTAGCATTTAATGGCTTTGCAGCTTCAAAGCCTGGCTGGTTGCTGCCTGGGGGATCTTTGGTTGGAACGTGTTAGCTGGCCCTGATTGATTCTTGTCTGAAATTCCCCTGTTTTCCTAGTGTTGTTCTTTACATACTGTCCTGATTTTAGAGTTTTTTTTAACTGGTAGCCAGATTTTGTTCATTTTCATGGTTTCCTCCTTTCTGTTGAAATTGTCCACATGCTTGTAGATTTCAGTGGCTTCTCTATGTGGTAGTTGTTAGAATGGTCCAGCATTTCTATCTTCTCAAATAAATACTAAATACATACACAATAGATACACAGATAGATAACTACATAAAAACTCCAACCATCACCCAAGTCAAAAAAGAAGCACAATTATAGCCCTGGCAGACTATGCAAAAAAAAAAAAACTGCAAACCCCACCTCCTCCAAGGTGAACTGAACCACTTAACCTGGGCTCTACAGGCTAAAGGATACTCCACCACAGGCATCAGAAGATCTGCAAGACCAAGAACAAGCCATGAGAGTAAAGACAAAGATCCACCCAGAGGAAAAATGTTCTTACCATACATCAGGGGAACCACTGACTGCATAGGGAAGCTGATAAGGAAACACAACCTACAGACAAACTATCTACAGACCCACTAAGAAAATCCCTCTAAGGGACAGTAAATAAAAAGCAACATTAAAAAACAGGAGAATTCCAGACAAGAAACAATCAGGGGCAGCTAACACCTACCAACAAAGGAGCCCCCCCCAGGCAGAAACCAGCCAGGCTTTGAAGCTGCAAGACCATTAAATGCTAATCAAGGTGGGCAATTGCAACATTCACACTTGCCTCAAGCAGACAAGAGTTCTTTCTCCCACCATGGACATTCCACAGATATATAAACCTCACTTGCCTAGTGTTTAACAGACCTCAACCTCTGCGGATGTCTGCCATAGATGTGGGTTAAATGTCAGGAGAGAGTGCTTCTGGAACATGGCCATACAGCCCATAAAACTCACAGCAATCCTCAAAAAGGGTGGTGCTTACAGTGCACCATTCGTGTATTCCCAATTTTTATTCCCCTGGGATAAGTGAATGTGTAAATACAGTTTTATTCTGGGTTGTCTCTGGTGACCATTTCTTCCCCCTGATTTATCTGCACAAGAACCCCATGAGGTAGGCTGAGAGAGTATAATCGGCCTAAAGTCAGTTTCATGGAGCGATGGAGATCTTCCTGTGCCATAATACCATACTGGTTCTCAGTATCAATCTTGTGACTGTTAACTGTGAATGCTAGCAACAACAACCGAACATATGGGAAAGACATAATGACTGTATGTCACATATCTCTTAATGTTATTTAATAGAGGGGGGAAAGGAACTGAGTAGGCACTGTTTAACCAAGCAGCTTCCCACAGACCATGGCTAAGTGTTTCTCAGAAACAGCTTGCAATCCACAGTTTTAAATTACCTTGTATATTTCTCTGTATCTGACACAATAACACACACATACTACTTTAGCAAAGAATAAGTTTTAAATAATTTAGTGTAGGAAGTTGCAAATAAGAGATGATTTAAAAAAATAGAATGCACTAGCAAGTCTTAGTAAAAAAACAAAACAAAAGCCTAGCTACGTCTTGAGTTTATAAATTACCTAATATTATGGATGTTTATATAATATATTTCCTTTATCAGATATTTGCAATGAATCACTTCTTCCCCTCTCCAATAGAATGAAATTGTGGCACTTATAGTGGTATCAAAGTGCTACAATTGTGTAGTGTTAAACAGCTCTCAGAAGATATAAAACTTTTCTACACTGACCTAAATTATAAGCCCAGTCCAGCATACTGGATACTAGATCAGGCTCCCACTGAGTCCTCTCTGTGACTCCCTCATCCACCTCCAAATTGTGTTTACATCTTATTTTAATTTTTTTGTTATTTAATATTTAATGTTTCTTTTACTTAAGTGATAATTGTCTTTACTGTTCTAATGTAGCACAGATCCTATGTAAAATCATACTGTGTGTTTTTGACATTAATAATGAAATCCGAAATGTATACAGAAAGTCTTTACTCCCAATCATGCTAAAAATGTTTCCACCACTGGGCAGCTACCCTTCATGTCCCCTTGACTTCCCATGTTGCCTCTAGATATGGGCTTTCCCCCAACATAGCCTAACTCAAGCCAAGGTCCTAATAATGTATAGCCATCACACTGCTGATCCATTCCTATACTGACCTAACTAGTTAATGTAAATGTGCCCCATATATCTTTAACCAGGAAATATGTGGGGTTCAAAGCCGTCTTGATCTACATCAACACTCAGTATTGGCCATGCTTCTTGGGATGTTGGGAACTGGAGAGCTGTCATTTCTTCACTCTTACACAGTGCACAAATGCTTCCACTTACCGCAGTATTCAGTCCACCATTATTTTAAAACTTCAGCCCAATTGGGAACATGGTCATTGGTTTTGTGTCAGACTCCATTCACATGTCTACATTATCTTTACATGATTGCAGTTTTGATTGAGCTGCAGTTTGTATGAATGTGATGGAGAACTCTGTCCTATCATCAATGCCAATGTGAATCTCAAGTGCCAACATGGCCAGCATCTGGAGTGTGTATTGATATGGTGGAAGACTCTGCCACATCATTGCTGCCAATATGAACCTCAAATGCCAACATAGCCAGTATCTGCAGTATTCATAGATGTGATGGAGAACTCTGCCCCATCATCATTGCCAATGTGACCCTCAAGTGCCAACATGGCCAGCATCTGCAGTATGCATGGATGTGATGGAAAACTCCGTCCTATCATCAATGCCAATGTGAACCTCAAGTGTCAACATGGTCAGTGTCTGAGCGTGTATGGATGTGGTGGAGGACTCTGCCTCATCCTCTATGCCAATATGAACCTAAAGTGCCAGCATCTTCAGTGTTTATGGATGTGGTATAGGTCTCTGCCCCATCATCAATGCCAATGTGAACCTGAAGCGCCAACGTGGCCTGTGTCTGCAGTATGTATGGATGTGGTGGAGGACTCTGCCCTATCATCAGTGTCAATGTGAACCTCAAGTGCTAATGTGGCTATCATCTGCAGTGTGTGTGGATGTGGTGGAATACTCTGTCCCATCAACATGACCACCATTACCAGCTTGGCCTTTTCTGCAGGGCATGTGTGGTGTGCTGAAGGAGCCTCTCCCATCATCAGCACCCACACCACGCTTTGGCAGACCTACAGTAGTGGAGGGGATGCACCAGGGCCTCCTTCATGCCTCAGATGGCAAACTGGTTTGATCAGCTCCCAGCCCTTTATCCCATTCCACTGATGAAATGAGTAGACCCAGGGACAAGAGTTATGAGAGATTTCAAGACTCCTTTCTTGACGTTTCCTTCCACCGCTTACTTGCAAGACCTTACTTTCCCCCGAAAAGGAACGCTTTCCTCCGCAAGCCAGCTCTCCGGGCGGGAGGGCGAGAGAGCGAGGGCAGCGACTCCTCTGGCCCGCTGTGCGCATGCGTGCTTTTTCTCAAGCATGCTCACTGCCCAGGAAGGAGGCGGCCCCGATGGGAAGCCAGCGCTGACTCGGCCAGCCAGAGCCTGAGCAGGAGCCACAGCGCGGCGGAGGGAGGCTCTCCCCTCGGGGCTGTAGGCTGGCAGCATGGGCAGCAAGGGAGCCTGCCTGCCCCTGGTCTACCTGCTCTTCCAGCTCCAAGCCGCAGGTAAGGCCCAAAAGGGAAGGAAGAAGAGGAGAGAAGCAGTAGACTGGGGGAGGGTCGTTTCCATCCACTCCTATTGAGAAAGAAAGGCTCTGCCCCATCGCAGCCAACTTAATGCAATCGATCCGAGCACCTGTTGGGTGGAAATGGCCAATACCCTTGCTTGTGCGTTGGACCTTCCCCAGTGTGTTGCATTATTTTGCAGGGATTGGGGTTCCCCTCCCTTTAATACCTTAGTACCAATACTATTCTTGGAGAGAGAAGACTAAAGAGCTGGTCAAGCTGTCGTGATTCCATAGCCTTGAGCCATGGCAGTCCAAGTGGTGTCAAAGTGCATTAATTCCACAGTGTAGATGCCCCCTGTGAGAAGGATTTGGGTCGCTGGGAGCCCGTCGCCCTCCACGGCTATAGTTCCAGGTTTCAGCACCTGGGTCAGCGCCACCGCACTCCAGAGGAAAGCGAGGCTCTGACTGGCCCCTGATGAGCCCCGTTCAACCCCCATGATCATGTTTCCGGGTTTCAGAACCTTGGTCAGCGCCACAGAACTCCATAGGAAGGCGAGGCTCTAGCTGGCCCCTGATAATGCCCGTTCAACCCCCATGATCATGTTTCCAGGTTTCAGCACATTGGTCAGCACCACAGCAAGCCATAGGAAAGCGAGGCTCTGACTGGCTCCTGATGAGCCCTGTTCCAAAGAAATACGGTAATTCCAGGGTACACAACATCCCATCGCTTCCCTCTCGGCCTCCCAGTTGACATGGGAAGCCCACTGAGACTGCACGTTCCCGAGTGGATTTCTCCGTGGGGGGAAAAAACCCTTCTCCGGTTGGGTTTTCTCCCCCCGATTCTTTGTGGAAATGGCATTTCAGAAAGGTGTCCTCCCGCTGCGACAGCTGTCTTCCTGTCACAATTGCTGGGTTGATAAATCCCCTCTTTGCTTACCTACCTAGCAAAGTCTCTTCAGAAAACGTTGCGGGGAGGGGGGGTGAAACGAGCTGCAACTCTGCTCATTCTCTTCCCTCTCTTGATCTTCTCTACATTTTCATTCCTGCTTCAATTTTAGCAAAGCTGTTGCCTGCATTTTATTTACATAGTGGAGTAAACAGGAGAGATCCATGATTTGAACAAGACCAAAGGCTTAGAAGAGGCATGGGCAAACTGGGGCCCTCCAGGTGTTTTGGACTTTAACTCCCACAATTTCCAATAGCCTCAGGCCTTTTCCTTTTCCTCCTTAGCCGCTTAAGCAGCTGAGGGGGAAAAGGAAGGGGCCTGAGACTGTTGGGAATTGTGGGAGTTGTAGTCCAAAACACCTGGAGCAGCTATGGGGGGAAAGAAAAGGGCCTGAGGCTGTTAAGAATTGTGGGAGTTGTAGTCCAAAACACCTGGAGCAGCTGAGGAGAAAAAGAAAAGGGCCTGAGGCTGTTAGGAATTGTGGGAGTTGTAGTCCAAAACACCTGGAGTGGCTGAGGGGGGAAAGAAAAGGTACTGAGGCTGTTAGGAATTGTGGGAATTGAAGTCCAAACACCCGGAGGGGCCAAGTTTGCCCATGCCTGGCTTAGAAGCTGGAAAAGACCCCAAGGGCCATCCAGTCTCATTCTGCCATACAGGAAAAGACAATCAAGACACTCTCAATGGATAGCCAGCCTCTGTTTAAAAACTTTCATGTATGGAGAGTCTACCACGCTCCCATTCATCATCTTCCATTGTCAAACAGCTCTAATCACTAGGAAGATCTTCCCATTTTAGTGCATTTATTGCATTTTAATTCTATTTTTACCACACTGTTATGTGAGTTTTCTGAGCTTTATGGCCATTTTCCCAGAAGCATTCTCTCCTGATGTTTCACCCAGGAAACTAGGCAAGTGAGGTTTATATATCTGTGGAATGTTTAGGGTGGGAGAAAGAACTCTTGTTTGCTTGAGGCAAGTGTGAATATTGCAATTGGCCAGCTTGGTTCGCATTAAATAGCCTTAAAGGTATTACTTAACTGTTTTGTTTAGCTTTTGCATTGCACTTTTTATACATGTCTAGTGTGCATTATTAGCAGCCTTGAGTCCCCACAGGGAGAAAGGTGGGGGTATAAATAAATTTAATAATAATAATAATAAGAAGAAGAAGAAGAAGAAGAATAGGTGGAGTCTCATTTCCAGCAGTTTGAATCCATTGCCCTGTTTCCTGGTCTCTTCCCCAGGCAGCCATCAGCCAGGCTTTGAAGCTACAAGACCATTAAATGCAAATCAAGTTGGCCAATTGCAGCATTCACACTTGCTTGCCTCAAGCAGACAAAAGTTCTTTCTCCCACCCTGAACATTCCACAGATATATAAACCTCAATTGCCTAGTTTCCAACAGACCTCACAATCTCTGAGGATGCCTGCCACAGATGTGGGTGAAATGTCAGGAGAGGATGCTTCTGGAACATAACCATACAGCCGGGGAAACTCATAGCAACCCAGTGATTCAGGCCATTAAAGCCTTTGACAACACAGCAGGAAACAAGTTTGCAATCTTTTCCTTATAACATCCTTTCAAATATTTAAACTTAACGTATCATGTCCCCCTCTCAATCTTCTCTTCTCCAAATTAAACATACCCAGGTCTCTAAGCTGCTTCTCATAGTGCTTTGTTTCCAGGCCTGTGATCATTTTGATTGACCTCCTCTGGACGCATTCAGCTTCTCAATATCTCTCTTGATTTGTGTTGCCCAGATCAGGACACAGTATTCCAGGTGAGTTCTGACCAAAGCAGAATAGAGTGGGACTGTGAATTTCCTCAGTTTAGGCACTACACTCTTATTGATGCACCCTTGAATTGCATTAGCTTTTTTAGCTGCTCCATCACATTATTTACACATGTCTAGCTTTTCCTGTATAGCAGAATGAGACTGGATGCCCCTTGGGGTCTCTTCCAGCCCTGTGTTTCCATGATTGTAAGCCAGGCATGGGCAAACTTTGGCCCTGCAGGTGTTTTGGACTTCAACTCCCACAATTCCTAAGAGCCTCAAAACCTCTTCTTTTTCATGTCTATTAAGACTCCTAAATCCCATTTGCATGCACTGTTTTCGAAGCCAGGTGTCACCCATCCTATATCTGTTCATTTCATATATTTTTTTTTCTGCCTAGTTGTAGTACATTTCGCATCTGCTGATCCCTCCAGCAATCCTGTCAATACGTTGCTTGCTTTTAAACAGAGAGGTACATTGCTTTGCCAGGATTGTCCTTAAAAAAGCATTTGGCCTTTTACAGCACTAAAACAAAGTGCCTGATTTTAGCAAACAATGCTGGTGAAGTTCTTCCTCTGACAAAAATGAATGTTGTCTGAATGCCTCTTGAATGTAACTTTAGATGTTAAGCATCACCCTGACCTACCTACCTACCTATTGTATGTATGCAAGTGCATATGTATGTGCTTGTGTGTATGTGTCTGAGGTGTGTATATATTACTGGATATCATATATTACTAAAACCTGATGGCAGTGAGATGCTAAAGCCAAAGTGTCTGCAAAATCCAAGGCAATATGTTTGATCACATATCAACACGGATGTAGAGTTGGAGCACCCAAGCGCTCTGCTCATAATTTCATTACACTTGCCATTATTTAATAAAATCCAGGGTTAAGTCATCTTTCTGACTAGACTATACTACCATTTCTTGACATTCTGGGCTCACTGCCTGATATATCATTTGTTGTTCTTCCAGCACTCATGCCTTTCTTTTGTCTGCAATCTTTTACCCACTTAGGCAGCAGCAAGTGCCTTTGAACTCAGTGGACTTTGCTTCTGAATCGATAACATAAAATTGCATTGCTAGAAGGTTTGACTGTTTGGGCTTTAAACTGCTTGGTTAAAGCATATGGGAGAAATCATTGGCCCTCCAAGGTATTCCTGACTACAATTCCCATTTTTTTAAAAAAAACCATGATTGTGTTGATATGTTTTAAGGAGCAGAGGAATTAAGAATCTGTTAGGTCCTAAGGCTAAAGAACTCTGTATCTCTATATTCATACAGATTATTTTGCCTACCCACAATGAAATAATGAGACATGACAACTGAGCTGGCTTAACTATGGGCAACTTTTATTGAATTGTTACCTATTTAAACTTTCTTAATGAAGTCCGACTAACTTAAAAGTGGAGGTTTGAACTTTATGTTGTAAAAGCCAAGGCAATGACTATCTGAGACCCACTTCTCAGATGACTTGGGCGAAGCACCTTAGTTCCCTCACATAACCAAGGCAACTCTTGGGAAACCCCCAGTCTCCCAACACAGTTTGAAGGCCATTTCTGTTTGCTCCCACCTCAGTTGAGTAAACTTACAGGTGGGTGCTCCCATTTCTGGCCTTCACCAAAATGAGTGCCATAGGTGCACACTGAGATGTGAAATTATATCCCCATTCTCCATATGACAACCTATTTAAGGCAACATGCAATGCCAATTTCCCAGAAACCTCAACAGTTTAGGGTAGGCAAAGAAACCCTTTGAAAAAGAAGGGGGAAATTCCTACCTGGCCTCGAAACGACCCCCTACTATTATGGTACACTGTTAAAGGGTGGGATGGGTGGGCCAACATCCATGCTAAAATGAAGCCGGCAATCTGCCTGCACAGGCTCTGCCCACAACTTCTTTTGTGCTTCCTGCCTCCATTCACTGAGGAGGCAAATAGCCCTCCCCTCCTAGGCTTGCAAGGAGGGGAAAGCCACTTGCCTACCCACAACGAAATAATGAGACAAGACAACTGAGTTAACTATGGGCAACTTTTATTGAATTGTTACCTATTTAAATTGTCATCTTAAATGCACCTCAGTGCATTATATATATATATATATTGTTCTGGTGTGCCTTTGTTCTTGTTCTGGTGTGCCTTTAACTCAATTGAGACCTAAATAAATACTGATTCTATCATATCATAGAGATTTTTCAGCAAGATGTATTTAGAGGGAGTTTGTTATTGCCTTTCTGTGAGGCTGAGAAGATGTGATTTGCTCCAGTGGGTTTATATGACTG